CTATATCTTTACTTTCTTCTTTATTTTTGTTATATTATTCCAACAAATTTTGTGGAAAAATAAAAGTAGTTTGTTACTTCTTTACTTATGGATTTAAATTAAACGCATATATATTTAAAGAAGAATGCAATTTCACGATAAGTGTATATCATTTTTAGTTGCAAAAAAATAGAAAGATGATTTTTTTTTACAATATTCAATTAAATTTAACAATATGTAACATTTAAATGATTTCATTAACTATTCATTATTGAACTTTCTTAGTTTTCTGTCTAGATTGTAAACTTTCTGCAATCTTTGGTAACAATTCAGTGAATATCAGTGTCCCTACAAAGACTAGGAGTGTACCCAACCAATGATAGATTGTAAAAGGATTTCTGAAATATATTATAGAAAAAATTAGAGACAAAAACTTTCGTAATGTTATTACTAAAGTTACTGTGAGTGATGAACACTCTGTTGTTAATACAAAGACAGAACTAATGCACATATATCTGAAATTATTATTAAGGATAATAAATTATTAAAATTTGATCACATATATCAATTAGATGCTTGAGTATTAATAAAAGGATACTGTGTAAGAATATTTCCTATAAGGTAGAAAATTAATTTTGGCATATAAACATCAATAACTGATATATTTATTGGATCTGACACTAATGCATATTTAAAATGATCCCAAATATTAGGAGCCATTGTCAAAAAAAATGGTAAAGGCAATAAATGCTGGAAATAAATATTAGATCTTAAATATATGTAGTTTTATAAATTTATAAATAAGATAAGAGAATTTAAAATTTGTACCGTATAATATAAAGCTTCTCTTGCATTTTTTTCATATTTTTGGAACAGCACTTCTTGATAAATGCCCATTCTTGCAGATATAAATAAAGCAATAGTTAACAATGATATTCCTAATATCCACCAAAAGAAATCATCCCATGGTGTAGTAATTACTTGCTCAAGACTTTTAGGTTGTAAAGATTTAATTTCTTTGCCACTAACAATAGTGCAAATAGCAATTCCAAGAGTTATCATAAATACTGACAAATATTTACTAAATGCATATTTTTTTTTTAAAATAATAATACCCATAATCATATTAGCTATCAGAGAACCCTAAAATAATATGCATAAGCAATGATTTTGTACTTATGCAAATTTAGATATTACATTTTATATTTAGGTACTTACAGCTCTGAATATCATATGTAATGGCATTGGTATATTAAAATCAAATGCATAATTATTACAAACATTTGTAATAAAAAACATTGTTACTAATATAAAATAATCCTTTATTCCTATACTGGGCTTTACAGTTCCACATTTTGAAGTAAATAGAAATCCTTCTATTGATATAAAAAGGAATTGTGCAAATGTAATAAGATTTCCGCTACCTGGATCATCTCTGGAAAAAATTGTTGTTATTATTATTCTATTGATACTGGACAATGCTTGATTTACAATGCACTTGTATGCTATTTTAAGAAGTATGAGTAACTATATTTATAGACTTCAAAAAAATGTCCATTACAATATTCATGGTTATATAATATTTATAAAACAAATGTGCAATACGTACTTAACAAGAAGTTCCAGGAAGACGACGTTACTACAACAACCCAGGAAGACGCAACATATCGCAATAATAGTACGCATATTTTATTATTTGACAAATATCACAAAATATAACCTAAAACTATCAGGTGGTAGCGCGTTTTTTTCGTTTTACTATATTACCTCCAAATCGCGCGAAGCACGTTGGCTAACATCTGAGTAAATTATCAAGAACTCACGATACTTGGTAATGTGATGTATCATTTAAACGTCACATAATTTCTTGTATACAGATACAGTCTGTTACAAAAATATTCAAACACCGTAGGTTTTACAATTAATTGCAAATATTTTAAACTCCGTTCTTCTTTTCACTTTCTTTAAACTCTTACTATTCCATCGCTGCCGTAGGTATCAAAGTTGTTTTCATCGGTAAAAATAACGTTAAATCGCCACTCAGATTCTTTTGCGTACTGAAGCCTTTTCCTTCTATTTACTGCATGTATATATGGTTTTTTCAGCTATTTGCCCATTGCAGCCCTCCGTTCGACTCTTTTTATGATCGACTGTACGTAAATATAAAGACAACGTTTGTATGCATGAGAAGGTCTTTATTTAATCATCAGTACTAGTCTATATAAAGCTGCACTAATCTATTTTATATAACTTGACTCTTACGTAAAAAGTAAAATCTATATTAGGCGGGAAATTTCATTTTATTATTAATAATTTGTAA